TAAACGATAAATATTACTTGAGTTACTTACACATTAGGAACTTCCAAAACATTTGATTTACATGCACAAATTTGTTGCATCTTTTGCAACAATGCGTCATCAGTATTCTTAATTAAAAGTTTTTCTTTCACCATTTGTGCAAATGGTGTAACAAGATCCTGACTCAACGTGCTGAACTTGTGAATATGTTTAGTAGCACCAAAAACTCTACTATCACTACACTGATTACATCGATCGATAGCGATTTCGATTAAGTTAGTCAATATATCTGGTCGATTCTTTATTGTATCATATATATATGATAGATTTTCAAACACGTCGTAAACGTATTTACAGTCATCAGCAGTAAAATTAAGATGATGAAGTATACTACGGTACCATTGTTTACAGATAGTTGGAATATTATTTGTTTCTGTTAAGTCAATAGTTTTATTATATTTGTTAAACCAGAATTTAAGCAATTTTGGAAATTTATCTAATAATATCCTGCTTTTTGATACAGAGATGATATGGAGCGCTCGAAGATGATGTTCTTTGTTCCATTCGAACTGATCATTTTGTAATATGCGATATATAGAATCCACATTGGATGTGGTCCATTTATAAGTAGAAGTTTGTTCTAATAAAGCAAATGCGGCTCTTCGAAATGGTTCTGCCACTTCTGACTTGAAATCATTGAGGATTGCATTAAAATGTTCTTCTAGTAATTCTGCAGATACTGATGAAATGTGGAACTGTATTTTCTCAAGAAATATGTTTCGCAACGATATATCACTATATTTTATGTGTTCTAATAAAGAACCCCATACTTTTAATAGCTGATTCATATTACTGCATATTTTTAACATCCACTTTTAAAAATAACAATCATATTAGTTTGTGATTAAATCTTTAATCCATAATAACATATATATAATTTCGAACAAGCTCACCTTGGCGATTCTAGAGTATTTATCATCAGACTCAATTTTGTCAATGTTGGGTGTAACATATTTTGGAAAATAAAATTCAACGAGCAATTTCGAATATTTTTCGGTAAATTTCTGATTATAAACACATTCCAAAAAGCTATAATCTGGATCTAACAAATGTGCCGACGTAAACATTGCTTTCACCCAAAAATATTCATCATATTGTACCTCACGTACAATCGATGCACGAAGAGTTGTTAAAAGAATTTCCTTTGTATTAGGTAACCAGTCTTCAGGTTGAAACTTTTCAATAGATTCAAATACATATTGAGACGGAAATTTCTTTCCAAGTAAATTGTAATTGCCAAATGTATTAGAACGTGTCATAATGTAATATCCTAGTATAATACTTAAAAATAAGCGTTTATCTTTATCGGTTGTGTTGCGAATTTCATTCCCGATAAATTTTACATCACTGGCCGATAATGTTTCATCAGGAAACTTTTCCAAAATATCTAGATATTCCTTAAGCTTTATTTTAGCGTTATCTGACGAAAGTGATTTCCAGATTATTTTAAAGAATTCGTAATCGTGAACACGTTTATAATACGAACGCTTGCCAATATCTATCTGTCTCACCATGTCAAACTGGTTAATAAGTCCACCTTTCATATTTAATATACGATGGTCTAGAGTATCATGAATAATCTCATGAAACCAATACTTTTTAGGCTCTTCCTTTATTTTTCTGTCTAACTTTTCGCTTTCTTTTAACTTCTTGTCTGTTACCGTTTCATCATCATTATTATTATTTTTATCATTATTTTTATTATCGTTTTTATCATCATTTGTGTCATTCTTATCATTCTCGGTCACATCTTCACCTTTATTTGTTCCATCATCATAATCATCGTTGTCATCATCTTTTGTCATTCCTTTGGGTTTATTTTCATCACCATCATTATCATCATCATCATCCTTTATAGAGCTAACATCATTGTCTCTACTATTTTCACCTTCTTGAATATTATCATCACCAGGTTTCTTATTTTCACCTTCTTGAATATTATCATCACCAGATTTCTTATTATTTGCAACTTTTTTTTCAGCTTCTCTTTTTTCCTTTTCAGCTTTTTTGGCCCTTTTTTCTTCCTCTCTTTTTTCCTTTGCTGCCTTCTTTTCAGCTTCCTTTCTATCCTTTTCTGCCTTCTTCTCAGCTTCTTTGATCTTCTTTTCCTCAGCTTTAATACTTTTTTTATCCACTTTCTCAACAATTTGCACTGCGTACTTATACTTTACCTCCCCTTCATTGAATTTGCTCACCGGAATTGTCACGGGTTCAGACACCCAATAAGTACTATTTTTCTCACCATAGAGTTTTAGCGGTTTTGAATAAGGTTGTTTAAGTGGAACTACTACATTTTCCCAATTACCAAGTTCATCAATATTACCAATTACACAAGGAGTTGTTTTTTCTGCTGATTTAAATTCACGAGAGATATCCTCAATTTTTGGTGGGAGGTGGACATGAAAAGTTACTTGAACATAGTCATCTTCTAGAAGGGAGGTGGTGATTGATGAATCATCAGTATCGACAAACCAAAGTAATTTTTTTAATATACTTGGTTTTGATGAAGCTTTTTGTGGAATTTGGTGTGATGTTATAGTAGTATTATTATTTTGATTATTTTGACTATTATTATTAAATTGCGAAATATCAGATTCATAATTTTTGAATCCATATTCTAACTCAAATTTATGTTCTTGCCATCCATCATCATTACCACTGCCATCCTTATGATATATCGTGTTTGACATTTCTTAGCTATATTTAGAGAAAGCTTTTTTATTTAAAAAAAAAAAAGTGTGGAAAGTTGGTTTACGCTATTAAGCATCCGATAGGGATCTGTATAAAATTAAAATCAAAGATCTCTTGTCACAAATTTCATTTTATTTTATTTCATGTACAAATGAAATTCTGATTTAGGTAATCACAATTAAATTATAGTTACGCTCACTATTTACTATCTTTATTTCATTATTTGAAGCTATTGTTATCGTTACATTTTAAGAATTGATTGCATGATAAAAATATAGAATTCTGAAATAATCAATCATGATTTCTAATTTGTCAATATAATAAAACGGTGCATAGCTAAAATTACTATGTATGGTATTCAAATGTATTACACGATAATCTTACGCATGCGTACGCACATAAATACGTACGTACGTACATATGTATTTCTTTATGTGTTAAATTAACGTCGTACGTACGCACATTAAGTACTGGGGCCCAGTTAAAAGTGGTTCTTGTTCTATAAATTTATATTAGAAAACTATTATAATAGATAATATCATACATACAAAAACAAAATTCTACCACGTAATCGATGCTGGTACGTACGTTATAACACTACTCATATCTACGTTGTATATATAATGTATATGTGCTACTAAGATGATTATAGTTTATAGGATTGCAATTGTTACCCACTTTTTGAGAGTTAAATTATTCTCACTATAATTTGGCAGGTAGCTGGTATAACTGGCATTATTATTCTAACACATGTGATGTGTGTAACAGTACAGTACTTTGAATATTTCGATGTTCGATTATAGCTGTTAGACGAAACCTAGAGATTTTGAGTTGGCGAAATACGGACCCATGTTTTTTAATTTCGTAAAAAAAAAAAAATCAATGGCGAGCCTTGTATAAAGTGTCGAACTGGTGAAAGATGGCAGTAGTTAATTTCTTTTCATCTTAATCTTTCTCATGTTAAGTCAAATTTAGCGAAAGTTGAAGAAATTAGAGATAGATAATAAAACTGGTAAAAGTAATAAACTAACGGTAAGCAACAAAATTAAAATAAGAAATAACTTCAAACCTCCGATAAACGTTACGGATGAAGCTGAATCTAATATTGTAATTTGTTGACTAGTGTTTTAAACATGGCTATAATCAAATTTTGTATCCACGGTAGAGGAGTAGTTAAATCCAGACAATAGGTATGATTCCTTAGTAGACTTTTCTAAATAGAAATATAGCCTGGTCTCAGAATTATGTAACTTCTATAAGAAATAAAAGAATTTTGATCATGTCTTTCGCCAAAAATTTATCTCATTAGATGTATAGGATAGCATTTGGTTACAATTAGTTTTTTAATCATCGTATTTAACTAAAGGAGTGTATAGTAAAGTAGTACAGAAATAACACAGTATAGAAATACGGATTAGGACGGACATGTGGAAATCATGATAGTACGTACGTACCCGAATCGACAAGTGACATTAGAGATTTATTGATTCGATCATCATTCTATAAACTATGCATCGGTTTGGACCTGACCTCAATCTACGGAACGAAAATTGCTTGGACTGGTCCAAGGCCGGTCCGGGCTATGGTTTTCGCAGAACTGTAGCATCCTTAGCAAAATGTCAGCAAACAGTGATATAAGCATAATTCGACTAGAATTAATGTTAAAGTAGATGGATTATGGGCAATACCGATACTGTTGAACCTCCCAAAACCGATCCTGTCAAAATCGATAACCTGTTAAATCCGATCTACCAAAATCTATATAGTAGTTTATAATGTTTTCAAATCTGATAACTTATCAATATTGATACAAAGCCTATCCACCATGCATATCGGTTTTGAGAGGTTCAACAGTAATTCTAGTAGTTAACATATTCGATTAATAATTGATTTTCAAATCTGGTTAAAAGGTTTAATGCATCCCTAATTAAATGATTCCAGTCCTTAGTATATATAAGACTTGAACTATAAGTTTTCCATAGATTTTAGGGCCTTACGATGAGAATGGATAAGTTCTTGATATCGGTCAACATTGGTAAATTCAGCTGTTTTCATACATTCTGGGACATCTGGTAAAAAAATTGAATGATTATCTGACCGACTCGATAAGATCGATTATAAATGATGTGTATCTTTGCTAAATGATACAGTGATTTCGATGATATGGTATGCTAGCTATATAATGTACATATATCGTGAACACTATTTTTATCTTTGCTAAATGACATTTTCAAAGCGTATTCATGAATTTGTTGAAAATTTTTGGAAAACTTAGCATTTCAGGTCTTCTGAGTCGAATTCATACATTTTCGAAGATATGGATGAATTGAAACTTCTATTAATTGAAAGATACAATATAAAATAATTAAACCTTTAATGAATGAAAAATTCTCTTGTTGCAATAATTTTTATTGAGCTGTTGTTACTTCGGATAAATTAGAATGTTATATTAGATTCAGTTGTTGTCGCTTCATGCAAGTCAGATAATTCATATAAAATTTTTTAAATAAAATGATATATAATTTTCAATACAGTTTCGACAATCTTAATAAAATCCTGAATGTATTGGAATAATAATTTGTGTTATATATAGATGTATATTTTAATCCAGTTAACAAGTTATTGCTCACATCGAACTTTTTTTTTTTAATAGCGCCTGCTCATGTTATATATTTATTATGAAAGCTTATCTTATTTTCGGAACCATCTTTGTTAAGATCTGTTGCCTGGCAAGAGCAATTTTCACCATAAATTTTCGTAAAGATCAAACACATCAAACATACTGGACATGTAAACAAAACTTTATTTTAAATGTGTTGACATTTTGGTATCGTTCTGAAGACTATCGCTATTAGTGTTTGAAATTAGTGTTCTCATGAGAACACTACTATAGATTTGTGCACAGTATAATTTTTCACTGTTCATTATTAAAAATTTTTTGAAAACAGTAAATTAAAATCAAAAACTATATATCACACCTGTGGTGTTCAACACCACAATAATTTTGTTTATGAGCTGCAGTGTAACAAAATAA